AAAAAAAAACAACCAACCCCGAACAACAAACAAAATATGAATCGAACTTTGGCTTCGACAGAGCAGCACCCCGGGAGACTTAACCATACATCGCTATCCCTTTATCCCTTTTTCTATAACGCATACACATGCGGCTCACGCGCACGCACACACACACATACACGCACGCACGCACTAACGCACACACACACACACACACACACACACACACACACACACACGCAAGAGTGGGAGGTAGATTAGCGGGTGCTCTGGTGTGGTTTGCTCTTTCTTTCCTATCAAACATCTATCGTCCTTACCTCTCCGCCTTCTTTTTTGTGTATGTTACTCTCTTGTAACACATATCTTCGGCACTTATATGACCTTATTGTGTTGCAAGTGCCGTAAAACTTACTCAAATTAAAAACTAAGATCATTCGCGCGTTATGTCAAGTTCCAGCAGTCGAGGAAAATGGGGAAATTGGGGGTGGGCAAGGAGATTAAATTAAGGCTCCTTAGGGTGGGGTGGTAGTTTATAATTCATTTTTTAAAAATGTAGACTACACGTACATATCACACTGTAAAAATAATGAAACAAATTTTTTTTACAATATACTCATCCATATTACGCAACGTAATAATAGATTTATGCGTAATAACAAAAATAAATGTTAGGCCTAGAGGCTAGGATGATGTACATAATATGTAGTTTAACTTTAATTGTCTCAAGAGCGCGCGAGCGGGTGACGAGGCGCCGCCCCCGCGTTGAGTCATCAATCGATAAGACGCTATTAATAGACTTTTACGCTGTTGATTTGACTATACATACGACAGGGGAAGCAGACGAAAACTGTCTTAGTTTCAGGCTACTTAACTACTATATCGCACGAATGCATTGTTTGCAAAGGAATGTGACAAATTCTGCTGTTGAAATGCTACCAAAAAGTCGATTTCAAATGAAACATTTGAAACATTTTCGGCCCGCCGTACCATAGTCCGCGATTGGCGGAACAGCTTCGATCGCGCCTCTTCGCAACGTCACATGAAATTTGAAAACGGAAGTTTACGGAAGTAGCGAATAGCGAAAGGGAAATCCCAAAACACAACACTGCTGACTGCTGTATCACTGTTGTGTGTGTAACTGTTTCGTGTGTTTTAGTTTCCGAGGGGCAATCCAACAAGCTGGAACTCGATACGACACAGCAAGAATGTCTGTTGTAAGCTTGAGGACTCAGATTCGGGAGGATCATCTTACGTGCTCCATATGTTGCGAGGAATTCAAAAACCCGAAGGCTCTTCCGTGTTTACACACTTTCTGCGCAAATTGTTTGAGAGACTACGTGGTGGGAAGAGGTTATGAATCTGTGGGTAGCTTTCCCTGCCCAGTCTGTCGAGCGAATACACAACTGCCTGCTACAGGGGTGGATGGCTTTCCAAATAACCACCTTATGTCCTCGCTTTCCCATACAATGGACAGTGCAAACGGGCGACCTGTGCCTAAACCACGCCGGTCTCTCGGCCAGAACCCTCCCCCACAGTCCACGACGATGAATCAGGAAATAAGGCACAATACCAATACAAACATTAACGTAGATGCTCCTGCCATGAACTACAGACCTGAAGACAACATGTCACTACCACCACCGTACTCCAGTGTGGCGGACACAAACCCTGCAGCTGATTCTGTAAATGTGGTGGATACTTCATCCTGGGATGCCCCACAGAAGTCTAAGGTTTGTTCAAATGATAATGACCCGAGCTGGATGGTGGTGCCTCGAGAACAACCTGCCACAGTTGTGGATCCAGTTTCTCCCGGAGACTTCTGCGTTGTGTCGGTCACTCAGCCCAGTAACATGTCTACAGGTGGAGGCGGTGGAAGTGCGTCTTTTGCACCACAGCCACCGGGGTTTGGGTGGAATTTAGGTGCTCTAGACCAAGTTCCCATGAACTCAGGGGTGCCAACGCCGACTCAAAGAGGACCCGAGTTCAACACTGCTAGAACAGTCAACACTCATGACCCTGCCATGGCTGTGAATCCACAGAGCTGGCCCAGCAGACCTAACCCTCCCGTACCGGCCCAGTCAGCGCCGCCTCTGTATCCTACAGTACCGCAAGGGTCAGAGTTTTCATCTACGGCTTGCACAGAGAACCTCATGCTTCGATTTGGTAAACAAGGATCCAGCGTGCGGGACTTCTTCAAGCCTGTGGGTCTGACAGTGAGCAAGGAAGGATGTTACATTATTTCTGACAACGGGGGAGAGCAGAGTAGAATTTTTATCTATAACAGTGGTGGGGAACTGACTGCTGCTTTCAAAACTGGCTACCGTGTCAAAGATGTTACTATGACGAAGAAAAATGAAATATTTGCTGCTGTTCAGAGCAACACAGCAGCTTTCCGTCACTTCACGCTGGGAGGCCAGCTGAAGGGGGAGTATGGGAAGTTCTTTACATACGAAGCACCGTGTGGAATTGCTGTGTTGAGTTCAGGCGGAGCCGTGGTGACAGGGACTCAGAATCACTCTGTTTATGTTTTGACCGATCAAATGAAACTGGCCACGAAATTTGGACGTAAGGGAAATGGAGACGGATATTTTTTGTCACCTGCTCACGTAGCGGTGGATTCTAAAAATCACATCATCGTCACGGATAAACAGAACAATTCGGTGCAGGTGTTTAACGCGGAGGGAAAATTTAAACTGCGGTTCAACGCGACAAGAAGTGGTCAGCTTCAAGCACCACTCGGCGTATGTACGGATAACAAAGACAATATCATTGTAGCCGATAGTGGAAACGGGAAAGTGGAAGCGTTTTCTTCGCATGGTCGCTGGCTGAGCACTGTGGTGAGGAACACCCATGAACTTGGCGAAAAAGTGAAACCAGTGAACGTGGCCGTGACCCCAACAGGAAAAGTGGCTGTGTTGCTGAGAGGGCCATATTTTGCAGAGGTGCGGGTGTACACATCCCATCATCAACAAATCTCCCAGGAGGAAGGCCCTGTAAGCTACTCTGCTGTCTGGTACTCAAAGTGATTGCTCTAGTCTAGATGTTTTGTTTGGTGTGCCTCTAGAGTATCACTATTATTGCTGTGATTGCTATTATATATATAGGCCCTATATGAAACATTGAGTTCAATATTATAATTTTGTTGTTACCCTATAGATTTTCACAGGTTCATAATGCCAATTTTTAATCCACAGTGTCTTTTTAACTAGGACTGCCAAAAGTTCTTAGTGTTATAATGACACACAGATTTTTTAGACATCAGAGATTGCTGCTGGAATCACAGAGTGCCTTCACAATTCACAAGGAACACTATGTCTAACATCTGGAATAAATCGTAGTCTTGATTCTTTTCTTTTCGTACATTGGCAAAACCTGGCAGTAAGCAAAGTTGGCGGTACAACGGGGGGGGGGGGGGGGGGGGGGGGGGGGGCCCAAAGGGGTTTTTTTTTTTTAAAAAAAAAAAAGAAAATACAGCAGAGCGGAAGCTACTGTTTTTTCTCTGTGCTCCATTTTAAATCACATTTTGCTGCTGAATTTTTAATCATCAAAGAAAAACCACAGTTCGAATTTCCCAAACACCTGGGCTGCTGAGAATTGAGTTGGGAGAGAGCCCCAGTTGATTTTTAAAATCATATTTATGAAAGTTTGAAGGAAGAAACCCTTCAGGATAGGACTTTTTATGCTTATCATTTATGTTTTTGTGTGTAATCGATCTATCGCTAATATTTTTAAACATTATCAAAACAAAATATGTTTTAAGTTTACGCTTTGGGGGTTGATTTATAAACTTTAATTTACTAGTCTACAGCGTCTTGCCCGACAACAACAACAGTGTAAGTCTAAGTTTGCATGAATTGTGTTAAAAGTAACTCTCAGAACTGCTTCTTTTAAGCTTGCTTGATATATATATATAATATATATATACAGTTGAACCTGTGTAAGACGGAATCGCAAGGGAGCGGGACAAAAATTCCGTCTTAGACAGGGGAATTTAGGGGGGTGGGGGTGGGGGGTTCAAAGGCCCAGCCGGTGGGATCAAGGATCGCTTGTCCGATCCGCAAGCAGTGGTCAAAACTTCACACCTCTCAGCTGCTATCCTGTCTGATAGTGACATGCGTCAGTCTTACTTATCCAATTACCACCAGTGCCTTTCATTGGACCACTGTTTGACCTATCAAAAACAGAAACGTTTGAACATCTCCTCTGCTTCAAATCAGGGCTGAGTGGGCAAAGCATTTTCCGTCTTAGACAGGTGAAACCCTCAGAGGGGAGCGGATTTTTCTTTCCGTTTCCGCGTTGGACAGGTTTCCGTTTTATACAGGTAATTAAAGAGGAATGTATCAAGGGGGGAGCGGGGAGATTCCGTAAAGACAGGTTTCCGTTTTACACAGGTTTCCATTAAGGCAGGTTCGACTGTATATATATATATATATATAGATATATATATATATATATAGATATATATATATATATATAGATATATATATATATATATAGATATATATATATATATAGATATATATATATATAGATATATATATATATATAGATATATATATATATAGATATATATATATATATATATATAATTATAATATCTTCTATCGCACCTCGTGACTATTCAATTTAATGCTTCAAACATAGTGATTTCATTTTATGAAAAATTATTTTCATTGATAATACTACTACTACTACATATATATGTAATTTAATGAGTACTTGATGACATGGTGACCAAACAATGTCTCTTGATGTTTTAAGTTCTGACTACTCTATAGAAAAGTCAGCAGAGCTTTTTCACTAATCTATAATTAACAGGTAGTTCTTTATTACTTCACTACATAACACTGTACCTAAGTGTTGTGTGTGTGCATACTGACTCATTCACAGAATGGTTCAAAGACACTTCTATTAAAATGTTCAAAGACTTTTTGAGCTTGCTTTTATTGAACCAAAAGTGAGAATAGAAAACTTTTTCTTTCCAATTTGTCCCTGCCCTGCATCAGTGTGTAGAGTTCTTACTCGTGGTACACATGTTTAGTCAGAGGAATAGTTCATGATTGCTTAAATATTACATAAAATTATATAATGTATAGACTGGATTGGCATTTTGTCATCAGTGCAATATTAATGTGTGTATAGTTGTGCACAAAAGGCTTTAATATTCGGCAACATTTTTTATAATTTGACAAGATTTAATTATTCCGGTGTAGGTTTTTACTTCATTCAGTGCCAGTCTACTTGACAGGCTACCATGATGTTTAAGACTGTCTTGTTTCAGTCAGTACTTGATGGTCTACTGTGATCTTTACTGTTTTTTTTACTTCAGTCAGCTTTTGACGGATGTCTTGTTTCAGTCAGTACTTGATGGTCTACTGTGATCTTTACTGTTTTTTACTTCAGTCAGCTTTTGACGGACGTTCTTCCAGCCCACCTCTTTGCTGACTACTGTTCCACTTGACAATTTGCAATGTAATGATCCTTTATTAACCGTTTCCCACTGTGTTTATACAGGCTTGGGACTGTCGTTGGCCATTACTACCGTAGAATGTGTTATCGTAGTTGACTATTGAATCAATCTGGCCGGATTATGGTAGAAAGCATTATCATGGTAGACTGTTAAGGCATTAAGTGGACTCGCACCCCTTATAAAATCTGTTACTACTATGGTGGAGCAATTTTCAGATAATAATGTACTCTAATGCATGTAATAATAATAATAGAGACAGCATTTTTATTATTATAGCGAAAATCCCCGCTCAACATCAAGTTCTACGCCTTTCCCAATCTATACAATGTACTACATTTTGTAATTACCCTAGCGGACCCGAGAGCATTCTGAAACAACCTCAATTTCCTGGGAAGCATACAATGCAAACGGCCGTTTATGGGCTAAAACACTAACATACTGACAAGATCTTTCGCTGTCTATGGCCGGGTACCCATTCCCTCCTGGGTGAAGTGAGGAACATTCGTGTAAAGTGCCTTTCCCAAGGACGCAACGTCGGGCCCGTGGCTTGAACCCCCGAACCCGCAACCTCAGGATTTATAGAGTCCGGTAGCCTAACCACTCGGCCACCGATGCCAAAGTGTGGAGTCCACTAATATTAAGCTGAACAAGGTTTAATGCAAAAACAGCAGTGAACTGATTGAAAAGGAAATCCCTGAGATTTTTTTTGGTATTAGATTTCTGTTTGCAAACGAACTAAACCAAAAACCTGACTAAACCACAGAAAGTTTGTCAGTCTCGCAAGACTTCACTGCTTAAATTTGGAATAATAATGGCAGCTTAGGTTCTTGCTGAATTTACACGTTTTTTGGGTTGTTTTTTTAAAAGGCACCTTTTTCTGAAATGGGATGCAAAAAGATTAGTTACAGTTTTCAGATTTCAAAAGTTAATGTTCCTTTCATGGCACTATATGATTTTACCGAGAGATGTGATGCTGCGATGCATTTCCTGTTACATATCATGTTTTTTTCTCTTCTTGCATGATTCTAAAAGTCACTGTAACATTGATGCTACTCATTGGGTCTAAACCCCACTATGTCAAGGAACAATGCCTACATCGTACTGCAATACACCCTCTACTGATAATACTGATATTATTGTTGGGATTCATAGATGTCTATTTATATCAAGTGCTTTTGAAATTATCTCTCATCCTTTTTTGTTTGTTTTTGTTTTGCTTTGCAAGCCAAAAGTTTATCTTCTATGTTAGTAATCTCTGACCTTTCACATATATTCATTCTTTCAGTCTCCTTGCCTGAAGATAAGAAGATCCTGTCGCTGAATGCAACATCCCTGCATGGGTATCGAGTTCTTCATTGTTAATCATACTCATCACCATTCCTGATTCTTCCCGCACCGACCATCCCCATCTGATCATGATCTCTGAGTGCAGTGCTGAAATTTTCATCATGTTATAATATTCCCCCACCGTAAGCGATTTTTGATACGGTAAATATGTTTAATGCGTGATATTAAATTGTCATATTACAAAATGACTTAATACTTTATGGGTTTTTTCCGAGAGCTTTGGGTACATGGCAAGGTTTGGTAAAATAGTGACCCAAAAATTTGCCGACAACTCTACATTATTGTATGAGTTTTGACATCAGACGAACCAGTAGATAGGGGTACAGTGTGCGAGTAAGAGCAAAACCTTGTTGGAGTAAAATCTTTGTTGATCAAAGGCACAAGACAATATAATATTCAGTTTGTTGGTTTTCCAGGATTTAAATCATTGCTACTTGAGCTAGTATAGTTAAAGCACTGACAATATAGAAATTGAGGGCGGCTACCACTGTATATAATATACATTTAGTTTTTCACTTAACAAGATTCTCATATTTGTCTATATTATGGACTGTGGTATTAAATATTCTTGGACTTCTACAATATAATATAATTCATGCTTTAAAGAATTTGTTTTGACTATTGTCATAAACATAAGCAATTTTGGCGTTTGTCAACAAATTTTTGGGTTTGCTGTTGTTCGAACAAGTTTCACCATTGCTGGTGTGAGTTTTATCTATGTCTTCTGAAAGCCAAAATAATGATTGAAAAAGCTTGACCGTAAGAAGTTGAGGATAATATTTTAACTTTTATTCTCTCAGAAAGTCTTTTGTCTTTCCAAATGAAGCAAAATAAACGAGTTTTGCGTTTGTTTGAAGACGATCATTAGTTTTAGTGTTTGACTTTGATTGATGTATTGCTCGATAAAATTTTTTGTTGTTGATTAAACGATGAAACCATTTTGCTTTATTGACAATGAATTTGATCGCGATCAGTTGCATCCATACTAGTAGGAGAACGCAAGTAGAGCTTTTTGATAAAATACGAATCTGCACTCTCACATAAGCTTAATCATATTATATAATAGTAGTACACATCCTGTAGGTCTGGGTGGAATATTTAACACCTACAATTTGTTGTTCTCATAGTGTAGTCTGTGATGTTCAGAATCAGGGGGTCCTTTTTCAACAAGCTGGTATCCTGTTGTCTACTATCACATTATATTCATTCATTACATTAATTAGACCTTTAAAAAAATGTCTGTTAAAATTTCATCAAGGTAACACTATCAGCTGTCACTGTAACTGTAAGTCAGATGCTGACCATGGAGCTGGAGTCAAAGCTTGGGGCGGTTCCCCGATGTCCGATACGTTTCTTCATCTTTCATAATGGATACATTGTACACCTTGCAGTACAACGGTAAGCTCGAGAGACTGGCTCACTCCGAACTCACTGTATGTTTTCCAAACAGGTCATGTCTTGACCGTCCAGAAAACTAGCTATGTGCTCTCTCTACAAACCCGAAACTAATGAAGAAACTGATTTTTGTGGGTGATTTTTTTTTTCAAATGAAAAATGCTTGTTCAGTATGTATGGCTGCCGCCATCGTACCAATTTTCTGCAAAATTGGACATGTGTATATTGTTTTTCTTTAGACTTGGCTGTGTCATGTATACTGACAATAATTGGGAGGCGTCGTCGTGAAATCAGGCACTCGTCAAAATAATGAAATCTAACAAATCAGCATTTTTCTGCCTGTTGGGCAATTTTTATGCATTTTTCTTTTTTGGTTTCAACCCTTTTTTGTGTCCACTTTAAAACGCATTTCTGTGAGGATTTTACTGAAAAACGTTTATCATAGACATAAATTATATGTAAATCTGCAGTTTCTGAGGACTCTTTAAAGCCTTGGAAGTCACTAAACTTTTGCGGCCTTTCTCTCTGTAATTTTACTTCTGCTACCCGGGACCTCCTTTGAAGGCAAATACTTCGACTTCTATTCAAGAAAGATGGGTATTTTTAAAATCAAAAGTAAGACAAATGAAGAAGCTTTAAGATGAATACATGTATGTATCATTAGTATCAATAACTCCGTATGTCCCACAATTGACGAGCACCTGATTCCACTGCATTGTGACACAATTTATTGTGCTCATAAATTGGCTGCGGATAATACTTGTACAATGTAACATAAAGTGTGAAGGGTGATTATGGGGATCACTGTGAGCATTGTGAAATGACATGGGCCTTTCTGGCCTGGTCTGGCAGTTTATAGACTACTTTGTCTTTCCACAAGTTGATGTTTACTTATACTACAAATGTACTTTGAATTCTTTTTTGCAGTGAAAGGTATCTTCATGGACATTTTTTCTTTATGTATTACTACACTATAATGTGTTGCATTTTGAGGATATTTTTCCCGACTGACATCATGAACCCAGCCTTCGATTTGCGGAAAATGAGCAATAATTTCAATTTAATGATGGGTGAGACAAGGCTTTCTGATTTCAGTATTAGCATTGTTATGGAAGTATTCAAACTGATGATGTTGTCTTTGCCCTTGTGCACTTTATCCTTTATTTAAGGGAAGTCTATCTCAGTCTACTGTCAGTGCAGCTGTGTTTAAGTTGTACAACACATGCAACACAATTAGATCATACATGTGCCGATGTCTACTCTTAAAAATATTCATTGACCACTGGTTGACAGAACCACAAATTGCTTGGTCTATAATGAGAAAGAAGTTGACTTTTCCCAGCATTTGATAATTGCAAACATCAGACGTTATTTTTATATAAAACAACTGCAATCATGTTCCAAGCATTTTTTAAATAGTTTAGCACACACACACACCGAAATCGGCCAGAAACGGATATTTTTTTGTTTGGATGAATTTAGTTAGTAATGTAATGCAGGTGTATTATAAATATACAGTATAAGTATAACATGGATAAATAGGTCCAACACAGAAGACTCGGCTGTGCCTGCGGTCCCGTTTTTTGTTTCTTCTTCTTTATCTTTGAAGATATATCGCTCGAACTACGGATCCCCCGAACAGCCGAGGCCAGTCCCAACAAATTTGAGCTATCCGCGTTGTTATACTTTACAAAGAATATAAGTGCCTACTGGGTATACAAAAAAAAAATCAGGACCTGAAAATCTCCCCATTATGTGCATGCTGCTTTGTGTAATATGATGTCATATATTTATACTTTTAGGTGCAGCTAAAGCAGAGAAAATAGTTGCTGCCATTTTTTTTTTTTTCAGTTTCTAATTAATACAGGCTACGGTTGTCATTAGTCTTTGTTTTGTCTCCATGAATCGATACTTTGCATTGTCAGAGTGACATAAGTGTTCAGTTTGATTGATCGATTTTTGTGAACCCATGCTGTGAATGATTCACATCATGTACCCTAAAAAGGTCTGAACCCACTGTGGTAATTACAACATTATCCAATGTGCACACGGGTCTATTTATACTTATTTGTTTAATTTAATTATCTTATCAGGAATCTATTTCCTGTGCCAACAGGCAAAAAAATGATGATGCCAGTATGTACATTCATTAGTTTTTTTGGAAAAAGAAACGGATTTGTACATAATTGTTGTACTTTTCTTTTGTTATTCCTTGCTTTGGCTGATACTTTCATAAAATGTATGTTTGAGAGATATGTTATTTGCTGACTGAGCGTGATAGTACATATATAATAAAGTTCTGCTTCTGAAGATGATTTTTGAAACTCAAATTGTCTTTTTTTTTTTTTATTTCTTCGGCATTTCCTTGCTAAATCTTATTCTCTGTCAGTGGGGTAGTTGATGACTTGCAATTTTTCTAGTCCACAGTGCAAGTTTACTGATGTTTACATGTATACAGTGGGTCTGCTTAAAAGTTAAACCGAACACCATTTCCAAAACACCAGTAACCTGACAAAAAATAAAATTCCCTGATTTTTTAATTTTTTATTTTCAGCAACCCCTCTAATATGGTAATACAATAGGTTTAACACCCCTATCAACACTGTTTGGTCATTTAAGAGGCGGGACCTCAGAGTTTAACGTCCATCTCCGAGAGGACTGAGGCCAAGTGGGAAATTCATGTACTGTGCCTTTTCCAAGTGCACAACATCGGACCAAGCAGAGGCTCGAACCCCGGAACCCGCAATCTCATGATTACAAGTCCGGTAGCCTAACCACTAGGCTATCGACGCTACCCCTCTCTTTGAAAACATAGAGCTAAATCAAAGAAAATCCAGCAGTTCCGCAGATTTCAGTTTAAGCTGACTCCATTGTTATATATGTATCAGCCAATATTTGCCTGCTTTTCAATCGAAGCACTAGGCTGTTCCTTGCCTTTGAGTTGAGGCAGTAATATATATATGCCATCTTTTAAAAATCAGAAAAGGTTTGAGGTTTTAAATTATTTTCTCTGCAGGCTAAGATTCCACAGGAAAAGAGTCAAGTTTTGAGATACAGTCGAACTTGTCTTAACGGAATCTTCCCACTCCCCCTTGATAAATTCCCCTTTAATTACCCGTATAAAACGGAAACCTGTCCAACGCAGAAACGGATAGCAAAATCCACTCCCTACCGAGAGTTTTACCTGTCTAAGACGGGAAATGCTTCGCCTGTTCAGCCCTGATTTGAAACAAAATCGCAAGTTTGGTTCCACCAGCTCTAAACTTAACGCCACGCAGTCAGGAGAGGAAGGGGAGTAGGGGTGCAGCGCAATTTGAGGATAGTGATGTTACCCCATCTATCGATGCAGATGGTCAGGGTGGTGTTGGTGTGAAGTCTCACGAGTGCCAGTGAAAGTGCTCGAGTGGCCCTCTAACATGGAACCTTTCATTGGTAAACAGAGGCCAGAGGTGTGAAATTAGTTTGACCAATGCCTGCGGTCCTGATCGTACGGCCAGCCGAGAAAAGAGTTCCTATAATCATTGTTACATGGCATTGGTTGACTGCGTTTGCTACACCGATGGGTGTGGCTAAGAGTGGAAGCAAAGGAGATGCTCAAACATTTCTGTTTTTAATAGGTCAAACAGTGGTCCAATGAAACGCAAGCACTGATGGTAACTGGATAAGTAAGACTGATGCACTATCAGAGAGGACAGCAGTCAACTATCCCTGCGATTTAGCAGGGGAATGCAAAGAAGAAGAAGAAGATGGTTTGAGGCTTCTGTTGTGGCCGATGAGACCAGTTCTAACAGGGAAAAGTTTGCCACATTTTGAAATGAAAAGCTCTACTTAAACTTATATGGATGTGTGCAGCTGGCAGGCTTCTCGTTTGGTTTCAGTCAGCGCTAAATTTATAATCTATAAATAATATTATTACCCCAGCAGACCTGATAGCATTCAGAAACAATCTCAACTTCCTGGGAGACATACACTGCAAGCTGCCATTTTACAGGCACTAAAACAAGATCTTTCACTGTTCATGGCCTGGAACCCATTCACACTTGAGGAAAATTTTGTTAGTGCCTTTCCAAAAGACACAACGTCGGGCATGAAGCTGGAACCCCCGAACACACTAGACTCAAGACATTATGTGAACAGGTAAACAAAAAAGATGGCAATCTGAAAAATATGTGCCATGATGTGGTGGAATCAGGCGCTCATCAAAATTTGGGCACATGGAGTTACAGTAGTCTCCGCCTAAACGCACGCTATTCAAAAGCACGCTCCGCTCATACGCACGCTTTCGTCCTCTGACGGTTTTTTTTACTATATAATTTAGACGTACAAACGCACGGTCACTCCCCCTAAACGCACGCTCCAATCTGCGAAACACGCTGACAGGTAAAGCTTGACTAAGGGAAATTTCACTACGACTACTGTACGATCCGCACAGCTTGCTTAAGACAAGCCTAGAAAACCAGATATTTATTGCGAGACTGCCCCTTACGCCGAACAAAGAGAGTGATGGACAGCATTTTCACACACAACTTTCCTGACACATAGGTCTAGGACTGGTTGATGATATGTTGGGGGGTTGGGGGACTGAAACGTTATTTGATTGGTCACTGGAAATGCATCTCTTTGAGAGGAGGTTTCTGACTGGTGTTTGGGTGACTGCGTGTAGGCTAATGTTTTAATGTTTAGTTAGAGTTAGACCTAAGCCTATGATGCGCAACACTCATGAATGCTCGTTCATGAATTTACTGTCGGGGGTGGTCGCTTGTAAAGCCACGTGGCTGGGCCGTCGTCTCTATGACTATCACCAACAAATTCTTGTTAGGCTATTGGTTCCCGACATTTTATGGTGCATTCATTACATCGAGTCTGTCTTTCTGCCCCCCCCCCCCCCCCCCCAACACACACACACACTCACCCATTCAACGCCTTTGAAGTCTAAACCGCAGTCGGGGAATCTTTTACAAAACAGTCACGTGTCGTCACATTATCGGCCCAAAGTGAGCCCCACCCCAAAGTGAGGTCACTAGAATATCAAGGCAATGAGATGACTGCGTCCCTTCCTCCCTTTGCGAAGGTTCATGTAAACGCACGCTCCGTATAAACACACGCTAAGGAGCCCTCCAGAGTACCGTGCGTTTAGGCGGAGACTACTGTATAAATTCACATGGCAGTGTGTTTTTATGTATGTATGGACATAAAATGTGTCGAGCCCAAAACAAAATTTCGATATTTAGCCAAACTGGTGGAAAAATGCCTGTTTCTTCTATTTCATTATTTTGACAAGTGCCTGATTTCACCACAATGCCTCACATTATATATATATATATATATACAGAACATGAGATGTGAGAAAAGTTAAATGTAAGGAAGTATGGGAATCAGTGTCTGCTGTGTAGCAATTAGGCGCTTTACCCATTGCATGCTGAAGACCTAGTTCGATTCCCGTTTGGGGAAAAAGTAATTACCTCTGTCTTTCTGCTGAGACATTATATCCCTCTCAGTCCAAGTTGGTCCTGACAGGCAGGGTTGAAACCTGCCTCCTGAATGATCTAAATTGTGTTCATAGGGTGTAAAAAACCTTATATAAAGTTCTTAAGATTCTTTTTTTGAAGTGATGGAACGTGATTCTTACCTCCACCCATTGAATGCAGCACAAAGAAACACTGGAGGCAGTCGCAGAACTCGGCCGCCCGCCTGACGACTTCAGAGATCTGCTCCTTGTACTGTGTGCCGTACAAGTGATGCCCCGTGGCCCTGAACCATGTGATGGAAAGTAGAACCCTTTTATTAGCTCAGTTGGTAAGAACAAGAGGAAAAGGAAAAATGAGAGTAAGACATTTGACCAGCTTGCAGAGTTCAATTTAGTTTTTAGCAAGAATTCTGTTTCGGTACTTGCACAAATAAAGGATTTTTTTAAAGAACCAAAGATTAGTTGTCACTAGGAAGTAACATACATGAAAAATAGCAAGGAAGAGAAGGTCTGATCAGCAGTAGTCAAAAGCAAAGCTTCGAAACATGTTGAAACATCATACATAAATTAGAAACACAAAAATGAGCAAATTTCACAGTATGCATGTTATAGCATGGAAAAATCCGTTTCAATAATAAATATATGCCCAAAATTAGCGCATCTTCAAATGTTGTCAAATAACCACAATGCACATCATCAATGAGCTAACCAAAAGATGCAGCGTAGCATTTCATATTTCTGCTTCTGTACAGTACAATGTACCAACATTCCAGCTGACTTGAGTTAAGAGTACGAATAAGAGTGCGTAATGAGATTACAAGAAAAACAAAACAGCACTAGATCAGATGAATGTTAAGAAAAAACCGGCTATAGCATCATGATCATCAAGGCTTCTACAACTATAACTACAACAAAGCTAACCCCAGCTGCCTCCTTACCTGTCGAGAGCAGATTATTCTATTTTTAGATTCAGAAGAGGGAACAACTGCTTGAGACACCATCCCTACAAAAATTTAGGATCTACATCAAAACAGAACAGCATAACCGCCTGAAACACTATTCCTACATAAAATTTATGATCTACATCAGAACAGGCCATAACTGCACTATCCCTACATAAGAATAAGATTAAGGATCAATAACTTGAGAGCTGAATCACGGTGAAACCGGCACTTAAACAGGAAACTAACTTGCCCAATGCATGAGGCACTTAGACGAAAATATTGGCCCAACCCTAAGCAGGGAGAGCCAAAAGTCTGAAGGAACTTGGAGTGAACCTTCAGCGAACTGCAGCTTTCACACAAGCAACTGGGATGTCCATGAAAGATGAACCAGAAGAGAAAGAAGCAGCATCATCAAGGCTGCAGAACCCACCAGTTGTTTCCCGAGCCCGAGACGTCTGTGAGGAGCTGCCTGCAGTCAAACACTTCCCCAAGCGGACCTTTCATCATCTCACTGACCACGCCTTCCTCCATGTCTACAAGCACAGCCTGTGTGTGTGTCAAGGGAAAAAGATTATACAATTGTAACCTGGGATTGTTTTTCCCCCCATTTTTTAAATTCTTGTTGTAACCATTTTGTTTTTTCACGAATGTTGTCAATTCAAAATCTGAGTTGCCCAGTGTTATGTGTTCCAATGAAAAAACATCCCATTTGATGTCTTGTGAACAAATTGAATATTCAAAATTGCTTTAATAAACATCATTAAATTCAAGTTGTTCATGTAATTACAATGAACTATGACCAAGATAGGAAAAAAAAATTCACTTCAATGATTTCACCTAAAAGCTGAAAATTTTAAGACTATGACCATGATGAACAAAAATTATTTATCATAATGATTAAATATTGAACAATTCCTAGACCAAAAAGATTATTTTTTTGTTTTTTGTTCAAATGTTTACAACTGATAACATGGGGTGGACCAGGTTTGTCCTGTGCCTATCTATAAAGGCATGTCTAAAAATCTCCCTCAACTTCAAGGGAACTGTGGATGGCAAATAAAAAAGAAAAATACCAAGATGAAACCTGGAGAACAGTAAATCATATGCTGAAGCTAAAGAGTACAGAATAACCTGAGGTGTCACTACCTATGAGTCAAGTTGATTGAGTAAGTCAGTCATTTTCTTTTTAATACAGGAGTTTTACGCCCACATCAACACAATTTAAATCATTTAGTAGGTAGGTTTCAACCTTGTCTGTCAGGGCCAGCCTAGACTGAGAGGGATAAAACGTCCCAGCACACTGGTACTGTCGACAGGGCTTAAGTTAATCAGAGCCCAGCCTGTATTCCAAAAATTAATGTTACTTACTCTAGCTTTTAAAGATTTGATCTTTCCTGTTCCAGTGCCAACAGGTATATCAGCTGGGTCGTCGTGGCGACCATCAACATTTCTGAAGAAACTGCCGATGGATTCATCGTAAATGCCATTCTGTGGTATGACAAAGAGTGTACATGATATACCAACCGTCAAAATGGATGAAACAGAATAGAGCCTCTTACTATTAATGAGGGATATAGATTAGGTGTGGCATCAGGATGAAAACAGGCACTCAGCAAAATAATGAAAACGAAGAAACCAACATTTTTCCATCCGTTTGGCAATTTTTATCACTTAAAAAAATTTAGGCTCAACATCTTTAACTAATTCCGTCCATTCGGCCGCTGACAGCGGCTCTGAATTTTTCCGCTGCCTCCATTCGACCGCTGTGAGCGGCTCAACGAAATCCGAAACAAATGCGCACTTTTTAACATAGTTCCTACTTTTTAAGTTGTCGAAAGGAAGTAGAGCTTGTAAACAAACCTGACCTCAATCTCTGAGCGCCAATATCGTTCGAAACTCTGCGAAATTCTTGCAAAAATCGTTTTGTTGTCGCTATACATGCTAGATCTAAGGGTAATTAACTAATGTCCTTTGAAAAACACATTTATGGGTAGATTTCTCTCAGAAAAACTGATCAAATGCAAAAAAAAAAAGTAAATCTGCAGTTTTCAAAGACACTCAAGCTTTGGAAGTGAGCAAATAGTGGCCATTTTCTAGTTAATTTTGCCTCTCACACCAGAAGACCCCCACCTCTTTCAATCACAAATATCTCGACACCTACTCAAGATAGATGAGTATTCAAATAAAGTCGCTTTGTGTTAAAAATTAACACGAAATGCCTTTTCACTTACTTTGTTAACACTCGCATGTTCTCGTAGAGCAAGGTCCCAGAAACGGCAGCCGATCTGATTGCCACATTGTCCCACTGGAAATACAAGGACAAAAGTCAGATGTGAGGCAGCGTGGTGAAATCAGGCCCTGGCCAAAATAATAGAAGTGAAGAAACTAGTATTTTCCAGCAGGTTTGGGACTTTTAACCGAATTTTTGTTTTTGGCTCAACACCTTTCATGTCCATTAAAAAACACATTTCTGGGTGGATTTTCCTGAAAAAACGTTGATTAAAAGCACAAAAAATGTAAACTTTCAGCCTCCACCGGCTCTCAAGCTAAGGAAATAACAAAACTTTGCCGGCCACTTTCTCGCTAATTTACCTCTGAAACCAGGTGACCCCCACTTCCTTCAAATGTTAATGTCTCAACTTGTATCAGAGATGAATGGATAATTTTTCATCGAGAGCAAGACAAATGAACATGCTTCAAGATGATACCAATAACTCCACTAGCCCAAAAATTGACGAGTGCCTGATTCCCCAGCATCGTGACATAAATAGATTGACTTGTATTACTTTTAAAAAATCAACATGCCATACTATCACACAACAAAAATGTTGTTTATGGACATTAGGAACATAAGGAGAGAAAAAAATATATAAAAAGAAACATCCAATTTTGATTCTTTTAATTCTCATATCTCAACCCCCCCCCCCCCCTCAAAAACCTCTAAACACAAGGTTCTGGTCTTTTCCATGTTCACATGATTGTATGAAACTATAAAAGGCTATTTTCAGTGGGTTCATATCCGTCTATATCAATTCTGACACTAAGAATTGTTATCTTGTTGCCTTCGCTCTGAAAAACTATCAATTATACATACATACATGTATTAGAAAATGATAATTTTATTCAATGTCAAGCATATCAAACAACCCTATGTAGCAGTTGGATCACTCTTGAGAAGGGCAATGAAGAGGTGGGTACTGTAATGCCTGGGCAGAGGACTTCCTACTGATTATTTTAAAACCTACACACTTGCATCAACACATTAGTGACCAGCTTCTTAGGACCGGCTGACCAACCAATACCATGGCCTCAGTCCGCTTTGTCCGAAAAAAACCTCACACTTATCAGTTACTAAAACAGAAGACAAATTTTATTCCTACTAATCATCAGCCATGATAGGAAAGCAATTATATTTAAGTAATATTATATTTCGACGTACGTAAATAAAGAATACATTTGGATTTATTAAAAGTTTGATGAATCGTTGATGAACACAGAAAACAGTAAAGTCTTATAGATCTTTAAAGTCAGGAAATTACACATATTTACGTCTACAAATACGCGAGTCTGAAACTAATTTCACCCACTGCATCTACTGCCTAACTACAAAACTGTAGAAAACAATGTTTCACATTCTATTTCTAAGCCCATGGCTTTATACTTTATGCTGCCATGTGGTAGGCCCCTACTCCTAATACTTATATTAGTCTAATACTCTGTGTACACTATTCATTGCTGGAGGAAAGGTGGGGGGAGTTAATTTCATCCCATATCTCGGTCTTTCTGTTGAAAAAATAATGTATTTACCACTTGGCCTGGGTCGGGTCCTGCCATGCAGGGCCACAGGAACACGCAACCTAAACGATCTAACTTGTGCTTATGAGGACTTTTAAAAGCATTCGCAATCACAAAACTAACCTTGAACAATGACAGACTGTGTCATTATGGTGCCTACTGGAAGAGTGATGAACCTGTGGAAAGACACAACAATTACATCCATGCCGTTGATCATATGGTTCACAAACCGGGTTGAGAGTAACCCTCAAAGAAAACAAAAAACATAGTAGGCTATCCATCCTCCCCGGATTAGTCATCAAAATAGTCCAAGACAGCCACTCATTGTTTATAATACTGTTCATTTATTATACTATTCATGTGTCTGTGAGTGTAAGCTTACTATTATATTACTATGTGCACAGATGTGTGTGGAAGAGAGGATGTGTGAGGGAAGAGAGCATGTATTCATGGGTGTGCACATGTGCATGGGTATGTGTGTGTGCATGTATGTGTGTGTGTGTGTGTGTGCGCGTGTGTGCATGTGTGCACGAGGCGAAACACCAGGATCTGGACAATAAAGATCTATCTTATCATTGTCAAGGCAAAAAATGATTGTCTTGGTTAGCTGGACGTCTTGAAGTTGAAGAGTGTCATAATAATGTCTTTTTAAAAGCAAGGGGGGAAGTGGGAAGATGTTGTTTGTACAGGTGATGGTCATGGACAGTTGGCGGCCTAAGCCATAAAAGCAGGTTCGGCTGTACAAATCTGGTATAAAAGTAAAAGGAAAGAGTCATTAAATGTGCCAGGAGAATAGATAACTACCGTGGAGGACATATATCTAAAAAAATGCACTTTTCTATAAAAGTTTCTTTAATTTCTCAAGCAGTGGCAATAGGCCTACATCAAATTTCAAGTATACTCAGTGCCATATATGTAATAAGTAAATGACTATAGTACAGCAGAATCTTTTTTACTTTCAGCCGATGAACAAAAACTTGGATAAGACTCTGACTACCAGGTATTATATTATTTAATTATAAAGAACTTAAAAAGTACCCACTATCTGTGTAATACTAAAGATTTCCAGATCTTGATAATGTAACAATCAAGATTCCCACTTTAGACAGTGGTAATTTTATGGCCAGTGCCGCATTCAAAGAAAAATGCTATCTAACTAAAAGAAAGGGGCAGAATAAAATTTCTCATCAGAGAAAAGCTTATTGCAGATAGCCTTCAAAAACAAATAACATACAAAAGAGTAGAGCCTGTTCCACTTGAGTGCACGTAACATGACAACTTGCAGAAACTCAAAATGTGATCATCCTTAAAAAATAATGTAGTATCTTTGACTATTTTCTGCCGTTAAGCTGACAAAATGCCTTTTATCGTTTTTACGCTAAATTTTTTTAATTTGCTAAATCGAAAGCCTGATCAATGACCCTACTTGTGTGAAAAAATCGAAGTGAAACTGTGATTGGTTTTTGAATATTCGAAGTCACATTTCAGAAGAATTCTATTTTTCAATGGCTGACAATAAAAACCTCTTTTTCTTGAAACTGCTGAGAATAAAAAATTCAAAAAGGCGTTTTGTCAGCTTACTGGAAGTTTTCAGGTCCAAAGGAAAGTTTTTCAGACCATCGACATTGGCTTACCTCTAGCTCTTTTCCCATGGATCTAAAACACTGGTAGTTTAGAACTGTGGTGGTTTTAAGCATTATATTGCTGCGGTGAGTTTGATTCTTTAACGCAGAAGTTTTTAATTATAGAGTATCTGTGTCTATCAACTGGGAAAGTATTTCCTATTCAGTTCCAGTTGACTCTGACAAGAAGGGTTGATGCAACTCACCTTCTGAAGGATGATCTAGATTGTATTTATGGGGGTGTAAAATGTTGAAAATTTTAATCGGCCTAAGAATTCACGAAAGAACAAGAGGTCAACAAGGTCAGTTGACGGACGGAGGGGTGAGGGGGTTGTATGGAGAGGAGATGTGATGCTTGTTGTCGCACTGGTATATAGTTTGAAGGTTGTAAGTGTGTGCTAGCAGTATCATATCAATTATTTGTACTGTCGAAATTGTCTAAAGATGGCCACTCATTGTCAAAGAAAAAAGAGGCTGTCTTCAAGGGTCTTAACTCAGAATTTTAAAAAAGGAGGAACTTCCCGCGCGATAGCAACAGAAACTCATTTTCGCGAGACACCCATTATTATTATACCATTGAACCCTAGAGTGCTGAAATAAAATGCTGGGGTCTTGTGCAACTTATTTATATATTCCCCTCATCAAATTCGTCTGCACCATCATTGCCTTTCTCACCCTGGATCAGGATATAGGCCACGAACAAACACTCTCCACCTTTCCCTATCCTGGGCTAGTCGCTAGATGTCACTCCACGTCTTCCCACTTTTCTGTACATCCATTTCCGTGACTCTTCTCTAGGTTCCACGTGGTCTTCCCCTTGATCTTTTACCCTGTGGGTTCCAATCTAACACTTTTCGTGCTGCTTGACTTCCTGAAAGTGTGTCCAATCCATCACCAACGTCTTCTTCCCATCTCATCTCTGACTGGGCTCTGTCTCGTTCTTCTTAATACTTCCTCGTTGGTGATCCTGTCTGCCCATTTGATCCTCAGTAGCTTCCTCAGACATTTGTTTAAGAAAACCTGGATCCTCTTTATGCACATATGAGATGCATTCCTCATCTCACATCCATTCTCAAATTCGTCTGCACACATAAACTATATAAAAATGAATCTTGTTTTGAGCCTGAGAAAAGGCCTAGAACCAGAATATCGATTGTCATGAACCAGTCTGGGTGCCATGATTCATATCATATATAATAAATGTGAAAGACAAAAATTAATGCTCAAACTCAAAGTAGAGTAATAACTTGAATAGCTCAAGTAGACCTATTCAGTGTGAGAGGTGTAAGAACTGTAGGAAGGCAAGATGCAGAGACACTGAAAATCTGCGAATTTTGAACAGAAAACTAAAATATAGAGACATAATTTACTGTCACCCATCCAATGAAACGCGAACACTTAGGCCCATAATTTCAATAACACGCTCACAAGTTATGATGGTTCCTGATTTCACACAAGGCCTGCACCAACGCGCACTTTGGTTTAGTATGGGGTATTACAGCGCTTGCAACTGCATAAGAACGCGCCCTTTACTTTGCAGAGAGTTGTAGTAGTAATCAAAATTCTTAATATTAAAAATTTGCTTCCAATTTCAGTTTTTTGTCCTCTGGCGTTGCGTCCAGCCCTCTCCCCCATCCCCGAGTGTATCTTTAAATTTTAAAAAACAAAAAATCAATAATCTCCCCCCATTCCAGAGTCCTGTACTTCGCAGTGCTCAGCACACGCACAGGTTCACTGACCGGTCACAGTGGCCAGCCCGACAAGATGCTTGTAAAATTCTTTCCTTTTTTTTTGCTCTCACAAATGACAGCACAGTGACGAATATTGATTTATTTTCATGGCGACACCATATTTGTAATGCAGAACCTGTATGTTACAAATGTTGCGTTATCAGACTAATACTACCAAATTTCTGGGTGGCAACGAAAGCGAAAGTAGATCTTGATTTTCTGATGGTGCCTCGGAGTCACATACACAATTCTGCTTGCCGCCATAGCCGCCTGTTCACGTGAAACGTACCCTCAGACCGGGAAAAGCCGTATTAATATAATTACAATTGTAACCGGTAAAAATGAACTTAAAGACGTTATCGGATTTGGTTTTCAAATATTCAAGATCTTTAATGTATTTTACCGGGTCTCCGCGATTTTTTTCAAATTCCCGGGTGATTCCCAGGGCCTGGCAGTCACCCTGCTCCCAGCAACTCTCTTTCTGATTGGCCTCCTGTCGCAGTAGTGGGGTTTAGCGAAATAAATGGCGGTAGCGGAAATCCGCTTAATAGCGGAATATTGAGACCCATGTGTCTTAAAAAGCTGGACATCCTACACAGTACAGCATCTCTATAATATTTTTAAAATGCAAGGGGGGAAAAGGGAAGTACAGTCGAACCTGTGTAAGACGGAATCGCAAGGGAACCAGAAAAAAATTAGGTCTTAGACAGGGGAATTTAGGGGGAGATGGAGGTTGGGGGGGAGGGGGGTTCAAAGGCCCAGCCGGTGGGATCAAACATCGCTTGTCCGATCGGCAAGCAGTGGTCAAAACTTCACACCTCTCAGCTGCTGCTATCCTGTCTGATAATGACATATATATATATATATATATACGTCAGTCTTACTTATCCAATTACAACCAGTGCTTGCCTTTTATAGAACCACTGTTTGACCTATTAAAAACAGAAACGTTTGAACATCTCCCTTCCTTCCATCCTTAGCCCCACCCACCAATGCCACCTCTTATTGCCATCATTGTAACAACGATTAAAGGAACTCTTTTCTCGGCTGGCCGTACTATCAGGGCGGCAGGCATTGGTCAATCTAATTTCACACCTCTGGCCTCTGGACCCAGGAAAGTTTCCGTAGTGGCTGGCTCCTCGAACACTCTCACGGGCAGTCATGAGATTTCACACCCACATTCCACTGACCATCTGCATCGCTCAGGGCTCACATGATGGGGTAACATCTACCCCCAAATTGCACCCCTACTCCCCTTCCTCGCCCAGCCGCATGATGATAGCGTTAGTTTAGAGCAAGCAGAACCAAACTTGCGAGTTTTGTTTCACATCAGGGCTGAGCGGGCAAAGCATTTTCCGTCTTAGACAAGGTGAAATCCTCGGAAGAGAGCGAATTTTTCTTTCCGTTTTATACAGGTAATTAAAGAGGAATATATCAAGGGGGGAGCGGGGAGATTCCGTTAAGACAGGTTTCCGTTTTATACAGGTTTCCGTTAAGGCAGGGTCGACTGTAGATGTTTGTACAGGCGATGACTGTCCTATGTTCACGTGGCCGTTAGAGTAGCTCTGGCTATACTGTGTATATTAATTCTACTTAAATTTATTTAGGCCTAAATCTTTATGGCATGGCTATACTATAAAGCCAAAGGAAGGACTTCAATAATGATGGACCACTCCAACAAATACAATAAAGAAGAGACCTAACCCTAGCCCTAACCTTAACTCTGACCCAAACCCTCTATTCATTTCATAGTAGGCCTATATTTTATATGGCATGGTTGCACAGCTAGAGAATGACAACTAAACGCCATTGGCCGATATTTATAGTAACAGCCATCTTGTTTTATCTCGCAGGGGGGATGCCCGCCACGTCATCTGATCGTGATTCTATATATATAGGCCTAGTGATGATTTTGCGTAGCGCGAGGTTTGTACTGGCAAGTTTCCAAGCTTCCCTCTTTGAGTCTTTCCTAGAGGTTCCTCCTAGTCCTAGTATACTGCTTTTTTTGCACCTCACAGTATGCATTTGCAAACCTTGCAGTCTTGAAATAGTAGATCTACTCCATTTGCAGCTCAGCGTCCTATTGAGTCCAATCTCTTGTGTAAGTGCTGAATTTCTTATCCGAGTCGGCAGGCTGCCGTTGTGCGGTCGTTTTTGCAACCATGACTGACAAAGTGGGAATCCCTCAATGACGTCAAACAAGATGATTTGTGGCTGTTACCATAGGCCTAAATATCGGCCAATGGCCTTTAGTTGACGTTCTTCTATAGCTATCTGCTCGTCATGGTTGCTTGATATAGATCTATTCTATATGGAATTCCTCTGAGTGAAGTCTATAGTCTATCTATACTATAATAATATTTGAAAACACAAACAGCAACCCAGGTTACCAACAAATTATGTATGCCTCATTCGTGGCACTGGCAGCTTAGGAATTAAAAATAACTTATACTTATAAGGAATGTTGGAATTGGGAAAGCGTGAAAAAGAAAACATATAATGGCATGGGCATGGCGCAAGGGAAATATTGAAACGATAAAGACAAAGATGTTAGGTTAGTGTTTGGTAAATAGATCTAGAATCTAGATCTCGATCTAGATTCTAGGCCAACTTCATTTATGACTAAGAACAGTGAAAAATATAAACTCACCTTTATTTAATAACAACAACAGTTTTGCATCTTTTCAACAAATCAACAGCACCTATAGTCTACGGAGATTGTCACCTACTCCAACAGTACAACTGCTTACAAATTTTATTTAGAATTTCGCGGAAGCGTGGAATTCAGAGTGCTTTCCCTTCCATAACAACCAAAATATTGGAGAGGTCTCCCCTGTGGTCTCCACTCCGTATACATGTTCTGGCGTCATGTGTCTTGAGTTTAGGGTGACCGTAACTGCTTTATTCCCCCTTTAATTTTCTTCTAGATTTGTTCATGTATTTCCTTGTACTTTAATTTTCACCGCAACTTGCACGGTGCATTTTAGTTTTAGTCAGAGTTTTACGGCGCTCTCAGCTGCATAAGGACATACATCTAATTATTATGAGCGCGCGAAACATAATTTGGATACATTCTCAACAGTTCAGATGGCGACTTGATTTTGGTCAATGGTCAGATTAAAATGTTCGTGGTAAAAATCTAAATCTAAAAATGACAATTTAAATAATATTTAAAAGATGGTACTTACAATTTATTGTAAAGGTCAATGGCCTTTTCAAAAATCGAGAAATCTGCTGGGATCAACATTGGAGAACAGATTTTTCAGTGTTGTGCGTTAAAAAACAAACAAACAACCTCATGTATTTTCTTTTTGTTTGTTTTTGTAAGTGATTTACGGCGCTCGCAACTGAATAAGGTCATATGAGCGCGCGGGACACATCAAACTTTTTCAGTTGTTAGGAAATTTTTAATGTTGCCCGTGTGGCGGCCGAAGCCTACTCGATCGATTTTAGACCACCAAGGGTGCAACTTGCACACGGGCCCTCCGAGATTTTTCGCCCTTGTCCGAGAAGGCTAGGTGTAGATCTTTCCTACCAGAAGATCAGGGGTGTGGCTGAAAGACAGCAGGAAGAAGAAACCAAGGAGTAGCAGTAGAAAGGCTGTAGAAAGAATCAGGAGCCCAGGGGAGGGGGGGGGGGGGGGCAAAGGAGATGAGGAGTGGGGGCAGAAAGTGGAGACGAAAGCAGACGACAGAACATTGCTAGAGAGTAGGAAAGGAGGTGAAAGGGGACAAATTTAGAGAAGACATTTTTTTCGGTCACCACCCGGATTTGAACCCGGGACCTTTGAAGGAGAGGCCATCACCTTAACCTTTAGGCCACGAGATTCCCCATGTACTTTCTTTGGATCCCTCGGAAGTCTGGACACTATGCTAAAATGTGTCTAATGGGGAAATCTGTGTCTTTTCTGATACTGTGCATTTAACTTCATAAAAATTAAACTGTAACTCTGGTCTCTATCCTCAGCGCTAGTGAAATAAGCTAAGAAATAGAATACACACGTACATGATGTAATGATGAATGTAATGTGCCGTTCTAAATGCTATAATTATTATGCTTATCTTGGGATTCACACCACAGAGCTTCTAATATTCTACACACACACACACACACACACACACACACACACACACACACACACACACACACACACACACACACACACACACACACACACACACACACACACACACACACACACACGCGCGCGCTCTCTCTCTCTCTCTCTCTCTCTCTCTCTCTCTCTCTCTCTCTCTCTCTCTCTCTCTTTCTCCACTCTTTCTCTTTCTCTCTTTCTCTCTATCCTATCTGTCTGTCTGTCTGTCTGTCTGTCTGTCTGTCTGTCTGTATGTCTGTCTGTCTGCCGATCAGCCTGTCTGTCTATATGTATGTTTGCCTGTCTGCTTATCTGTCTATCTCTCACTCGCTCCCCTTGTGTCTGCCTGTGTGTCTGTCTGTCTGTCTGTATCCCCCCCCCCTCTCTCTCTCTCTTGGGTTGTGAAGAGTGCTTGTTTGCAACTGGTGTGTTTGTCCGGTCTGTGAACAACGAGTGTTTGTCGAATTTCCCTTCTGCTATCTGTGAAGTGAAGAGCGAAACAGTCCGACATTTTTATTTTGTGAGTAGCCCACAGTTTGTTCTGAAAGCATGGAAAATCACGAGTCAAGGGAAATAAGCTTGGAGATCCTAGAGGAGCTTAAAGCCTTTCGAAAGTACAGTGAGAACAACTTTTCTGAAATTAAAAATGAGATTAAGAACTTTAGAGCAAAGTTGGAGCGCTTCGAGATAGAAATAGCTTCAATAAAAAATTCAGTTTGTGAAATTAAGGAACAGCAGCACGTGCAATGTCTTGACATAGAAGAAGTTGACTTGAAATGTGCTGCACTGCAGGATAACGTTGGTAGATTGGAAGGGGAGATGGAAAAGGCAGAAAGGTACAGTAGGAGGGGAAATTTAATGTTCTATGGTGTGCCGGAGGATTTGAGGGAGGAGCCGCAAACAGCAAGAACAAAGGTAGTAGAAAAATACTTGGAAAAGTGACGGAGAAAAGCTGGGAAGATCGTGATTTCACACGGGTGCATAGAGTGGGGCCCAAGAGGCAGAAGGACCGCCCCAGGCCTATTATTGCAAGATTCCAATATGCGGAGGACAAATTCCTTGTTTTGGGTGCCAGAGAGGAACTAAAGGAGCAGGGGGTGAGTGTCGCCGGTGATCTTACACCGCGGCAAAGAGAAGAACTTAGAGTCCTGAGAGCAAAGGGAAAACGTGTTTTTTAAAAAAATGGAAGACTTCACGTGGAAGACGTCACCCATACACAAACACAACACGGCCAGCAGTCACCACCACAGGACAACAGCCAGCCGCGCCGACCCGAGCCCCGTGGACAACGACAGCAACAGAGGGTCACCCGCAGTCAGTGGGGGAGAGGTGGTGAGGCAACGGGGGGGCAGGGACGGTGGTGTGGCCATACGGAGACAGCAGGGTCAGTCTTTGGCTTCAACAACAGCAAAAGAATAGGAACACGGCCGGCCCAGACTTGCAATAACAATAGATAACACCCAAGCAATGTTTTTAAAAATTATGTGTTGGAATGTTCATGGCATATCGCAAAAATTGTTTAACCTTGATTTTGTCCACTTTTGTTCGTCGTATGACATTTTTGCTTGCTCTGAGGTCTACTCATGTAGTGAAGAAAAATTGCTCCTCGCCTTTCCCCAGTACAATATTTACTCTGCAAAACGTGAGCACGGGTTAGGTGGGGGTGTTGCTATTTTTGTTCGTCGGTCGTTAGGTACCCAAGTCACAAAGCTAGAAATTTCTATGAAAGAATGTGTTTGTTTACTGTTGAAGGAGACCTGTTTACAAACAGATCGTAAAGTGGTCCTATGCTTCCCCTACCTCCCGCATGAATTTTCGCCTGTGTTTAATAATGAAAAGGTTAAAGGTATACAGTCTCTTGTGAAGACATATCATGATATTATTATTAGCCATAAGTTAGGAGAAGTTGAGTGGATCATCGGAGGGGATCTGAATGCAAGGACAGGACGTCTAGATGATAACTTTGTTGAAAATAACGTACATGAACTTTTGTCTGGTTTTGAAGAAACGGATGATGTTTTAGAAGAAATTTGTATCCAAAGAAAGTCACGGGACGCTTCCTTTACAAATAGTTATGGAAAGCAATTAGTTAGTTTCTGTAAAGAAAATTCATTGTACATTGCGAATGGCAGGACACCGGGAGACGACGAAGGGAATGTCACATGCATTGGTAATAAGGGAAAAACAATGGTTGATTATGTTATTGTGAGCAAGGGAATGTTTGAGGAGATCTTTAGTTTTTCTGTCATGCCAAGGCCAGACTCAGATCATTTCCCACTGTCAGTGTTGTTTAAAATTTACATTGAGCATGCTGACATTTGTGAAAATGTTGAATGTGAGATTGAACTTAACCGGTTGTTGCGGCTCACGTGGAAAGAAACAATGAGAAGCACTTATGTTGAAAAGCTTGAATCATTATTAAATGAAGAACATGATATGTTTTTGTCCTATTTAAGTCTCAATGATGTCGACTCTGCCTGTAATGTTCTACAACAATGCATTAAAATATCTGCAGGAGACATGCAAACCAGTAAGCAAAAGAAAGGAAAGCATAGTAAGCATCATCAACCATTGTGGCGGGATAACGAATGTGAAAGGCTAAAGGGAGTAAAATATCTTCACCTCCACGACTTCCACAGAACAAACAGCTCAAATGATCTGGATAAATTCCTTGAAGCAAAAAAAAAGACTTTAAGGAGATGTGTGCGTTAAAAAAGAAAATATGTGATGCCCAGACAGTAGAAAGTTTAAAACAAGACCTTGCTGATAAACGATCACAATCATTTTGGCAAAAGGTTAATAAAATGATACGAACTCATGACTCATTTAATGCGGCTAAGGCCACACCACAGAAATTTTATTGTCATTTTAAAGACTTGCTAAATCCCAGAAATAATGAATCATCAGAGGATTTATTACAGACACAAGTTGATCATGAAGTAGTTTTAACAAATGAGGATTTAGACACAAATGTATACCTGTATGATTATGAAATCACGACTTCTGAGGTTCAAAGTGTTCTGAGAAAACTGAAAAAAGGAAAGGCTAGCGGATGTGACGGGATTGGTCCTGAATTCTATTCTAATGCATGTCCTTCCTTGATAATATACCTGTGTTTGTTGTTTAATGTCATTTTTAACACAAGGAAGTACCCAAAAATGTGGTGTCAAGCACTAATACATCCTATCCTCAAGAAAGGAAGTCCTTCAGATGCAAACAACTACAGGGGCATTGCACTTCTAATTATCATATCCAAGATAATGTCTAGTATATTGCATTCACCACTAGCGGAATGGGCCGAGCAGACCAATGTAATTCCAGAATCGCAAGCAGGGTTTCGTAAAGGTTATAGCACTATCGAGCATATCTTCTCGCTTCAATCAATAGTCCAAAAGTACCTTTCAAAGAAACGTGGGCGCTTCTATGTACTTTTTGTTGATTTTTCCAAAGCATTTGACTGCGTCCCCCATGAAAAACTGTGGGCAGTCTTGAGGAAAAGAGGCTTGAGAGGGAAAATGTTAACATTACTACAAAGTATGTACTCGGAAGTTATGTGCTCTGTCCGTACTGGCCAGCATGAAATTACGGAATACTTTAATTGCTTGTCGGGTGTTCGTCAAGGATGTATTCTTAGCCCGCTTTATGTATGTTTCTGAATTTGAATTGATGTTGAAAAACAGTGCTGTTAAAGGAGTTGAGCTATTAAGCAATGATGAACAAACCTGCAATTTAATGTACGCAGATGACATGTGCTTATTTTCAGATAATATTGTAGACATGCAAAGGAAGATCAATTGTTTGGAGAAGTATTGTAACCAGTGGGGACTGTCTGTAAATTTGGAAAAGACGAAGATGATTGTTTTTAGAAATGGAGGCGTGCTAAAGAGCTCTGAAAATGGTTTTACAAAAAGA